CGGCCGGGAGCCAAACGCCGCGCGTTGGCCGGCCGCGGCCCGGAGATAACACGGTCTTTCCTGGGGCGACAGGTACGATCACATCCTGAAGTGGGAGCTCTTCCAGCTGGCGGACCTGGACACCTACCAGGGGATGCTGAAGCTGCTCTTCATGAAGGAACTGGAACGGATCGTGAAGCTGTACGAAGCGTACAGGCAGGCCCTGCTCACCGAGCTGGAGCACCGCAAGCAGCGGCAGCAGTGGTATGCCCAGCAGCACAGCAAGAATTTTTAAGCTAAATAACTCTTTTTTTTTTTAATAGACTTCTGTGAGGACACTTCAGAGCTTTAAAAGGTTTTTTTTTCCACACTTAAAACTATGAAAAAGTGCTTTTGTCGAGAAGGCAGCTTATTTTTGTTGACGTTGCACCTTTGTTATTACCCTCTTGAATATTTTTCTACATGTTACGTGTTGTTTATAAAAACGAAAACCCTTTGTTAATCTTTTTCCATACAAGAATTAGTTTGTTATTCTGAAAACCAGCGCGGAGCTTCATCAGAGACTGGATTCTGGTACCTTCTCCCGGCGGTCAGCCGTAGCGTTAAGAAACTGACCACCGATTTTTCAAGGGCAATAGATACAACTGTACCAAATGTCCTGGGTTCCAAACATGGTGTTAAAACCCAAGCGAGCGTTTCCACCCGTTTCCCTCGGGACCTCGTGTCCCTCTCTACAGAGGGGTCTGCTTTGTTCCCGGCTTTAGCGGGCGGGATCCCGACACCGGTCCCCGTCAGTGACACCCACTGCTACAGCCGGACAGCGGCGAATTGCGCCAAGTGCTTCACGGCGGCGAAGTCCGAGTTGCCTTATTTTTTACTGCAGCGCGTTTCTACTTTAGATTTACTACTAGTTTTCACCGAAATTAGAGGGGGAATACTTGTACCTTCGTAAAGACCAAGATCTCTAAGCAGACTTGTCACAGGGTTTTAAATCCTGGGTAAACGGCACGTCGTAAGACGTGACCCGTCACGTGGGAAGGTGGTAGCGTTGTCCAACCAGCTGTACCACACCGTGGGAAAAAGCAGGGATGTAACAACAATTATTATTTTTTTTTTTTTTATAAACGAGCTTTTTGTCTTGTATTAAAGCTTCCTGACTTGGGGGAAATTTTTTTTAACTGTAGTTACCCTCTCCAGTATTTCCACTTGGTTCATTGATTGTCCTGAAATGTTATTTATGGATTCTTTTTAGTGCAATAAACACGGTTGCAGACAAAAAAAAAAAAAAAAACAACATTTCTTGTAAATCCTGTTAATTCAATAAAAATCATTTTGTTTAATGAATGAAGGGCCGTCCAGGTGATCTTTTTGCCTTTTAGAAGGTCAAATAAAATGTGCTCACAGGGCTCTGACGGGGGGTGGCGAGAAGCAGGCGCTCGGGCTCCCTGAGAGAAGAGGCCGAGCTCAGAGAGCGAGCGGAGCGGCGCCCTGCTGCTGCCGGGGGGCCCGTTCCCACAGGGGGGGGGCCGCTTCAAAACACCGACTTCCCCTTAAAACACCGATTCCGAGGGCCCAAAGGGAACCGGGGTGTAGAAACCCCAAGAGGAGAAGCTCTGGCCTCGTTGGTCAATAAGGGCTTCCTGCGTCCCCAGCCGCTTAGGAACCAAAAGCAAACTTTAATGGCTCTGACGAGGAAAGAACAGAACCGCTGGACACACGCTCTACGCGCTACCGTGAATACAGACACAGGAACACAGCGACACTTTCCCCGCCACGGGTACAAGGTGACACTTCGTGCAGCGGTTATGCTTCCCGTACAGGGTCGCTCACGTGCCATCGCAGCAGTGCCCTTACAGTTGCTGATGAAGCGAGTTAATACATTTCTAATTGTGTTTACGTCATTGAATAGTTAATTGAAGAAAAACCTTGGTTACGTGTTACAGCTTGTTCGAGTCTCTGAAAGGTAAGTTGGCTTTTGAGCGAAGGTCTGGAAGATTTTTCGTTACAGTATCGTGTACGTTGCGATTTCTTCGGTGACTTCATAACTAATTAAGAAGGGGGAAAATAAGGCTTCATAAATTAGCTGGGAAGCAGGCTGGCTATGCCAAACGAAAAGCACTTTGTCGTTGCGGCGGTGCCAATATGTACAGATCAACGAAACGAAAAAACATGCTGACACCTGCCCATCACACACCGTGTCGTTGAACAAACACACCGAACCACCCGGCAGGGGACTTGTTCTCCGCTCTCCCCGCTCCCCGGCAGGAGCGGGCGATGGGGTACGAGGATGGGGGTGTTGGGCCGAGGAGGAGGCGGCCGCGCCTCGTCCGGGCACCGACGGGGACGCGCCTGGCTTACAGCTTCTTCCTCTCCGAGCCCTCGGCGGGCTCCGCTTTCTGTGCGGGGAAGGCGTGGTGGTACAAGTGTCTGTGGGTCGCTGCTGCGCTGTACAGCTTGTACAAGGCCTGGAAGAGAGGGGAGAGGAGATGGTTAC